TCTAACACCACAGAAGCTGAAACAAAGAGAGATTTCAGCCTCTAAACGCCCCTCACAACACAGAATGTCCCAGTGCTTCTGGCCTGTTGTGACATCAGGTCATACAAGTTAACCACATTTCCAGCCTGTCCCAAAGAGGGAGGATTTCTACCCATTCCTAGGAAAGCAGTACCACAGCCTCAGGAATACTAACCCCCTGCAGGACACCCTTCCTCTGGTTTTCCCTTGTTGTCTCCTGCCTGGTATCCAGTCTGAAATCCTTTGGGACCACCCGGCAGCTCCTCCAGAGTTGATGCCCTTCAGCGAGTTGTGGGTCTTTCCGTCCCCTCTTTATTCAGGCTCAGCAGTTTCTAAACACAGCATTTTCCTAAGGCGGCCTCTGATTTTGGATGCTCTGCACTGTGTCAAATTGAGTGTCCAGAAATGGAGACGCCACAGAATCAGGGGTCACTCTGGAAAATGCTGTTTGCAGGCACGTCCTGCCTCCCCATGGCTTTGTTTGCTGGAGTTTGATCTCCTCACAACACCTCCCTGGGCACGGGGCACTGCAGGATCACAGGGTGTGCATAGAAACCCTGTCAGGTCCAGGCCCCGATGTCTCCATCAGCTGGGGGTCTTAGCAAGCTGATAAGGCAGGGAAGAAAATTTGGGGACTCTGAGGATGTTCCAGAGAGGTCTGCTGGGGCAAGGTTTGGTCATGGAACTTCTTTGCTCCCTCCCAGGTGCTCTCAAACCCTTCTCTCTGTGTTATCACTCCCCATCACTTGTCTGCCCCTCGAGCCCCTCCTGCCCCCCCAACACACCCAACCATCCCCCCCAACCTAAAATCTGGAGCCTGATTGCACAGATGGAAGGTCCTAATTGCACTTCCCCTTCCAAAGCCGCCTTCGTTTATCATAAAGGGTGCACATTTCCCCTGCTACAGTTTCCGCGGCCGGAGGCCCTGAGGGCCAGCTCAGAAATGGAGGGAATTAATTACATTTTTTTAACTCCCCTTCTTTTAAAGTATGGGAGAGAGTGATGAAACGTCCCGGGGGGGAGCAGGGGGGAGCTGCAGAGATGAGGGTGGGGAGGGAGGCGGCAGCAGGAGGTGAGAGGGGAGCTGATTCTTTCATTCAGGATGGTCTTTGTGCATTAACCTTGGTCTCCCCAGCACATCGGGACCCCAACCCACTCTTCCCATGACAAATAACCTCTGGAAAGGGCAGAAATGAGGCTGAGGGCTCCTGGCACTGTGGCTGTTGCTGACTTAGCCCAAAGTGTGAGCCCACGTCACGCCTGTGACTGATCTGGGACAACAGCAAAGGGGAAGGTGATGGGGAAAGGGGGAGACAACTGAGAGGGAGGGGAAAGACAAGGCTGTCAATCACAGTGATGGACAGGGAGCAGATTTCCCTCCAGATAAAACCTTACAGATGTGAAGAGTGTATTGATTTTTAGTTAGTGATGATAATGCACCAAGAAGTAATAAATTATAAGAAAGCAAGGTCAAAAAGAAAAAGTAAAAGGACTTTGCATTCTTGAGGAGGGGATTTCTCCAGATGCCTCAGACTTTCCTCAGTTCAAAAGTTGCCTGGAAAATGAGTTTATTCAGCTGAAAGAAGAAGCCAGATAACATGGGCCTGCCAGGGCTGGAGGGTTCGTGCAGGGTTATCTGTGCTGGGTGGCCACGTGGTGGAGAGGAAATAGAAATCTCTGGTTCACTCTTGTTATTCCTGACACCTTCATGTCCTGGGGTGGCCAAGATCAGATGCCACTCTCTGATAAACCTGAGCAAACAGAGTCTCAGGGGAGCTCGGCCCCCAGTTGCTCTAAGAGTGCCTGGAAAAGGCAAATCCTTCCCCTGGTCAGTGCTGAAGAGGAATCCAAAACTTTTGGGGCTCCTGGCCCAGCTGAGCCCCAGAGCCTCTGTCGGGTTTCATCTGCAGGTCCCAGTCCCCCACATCCACGAGAGCATCCACAGGGATGTGCATCCCCAGCCTCTCTTCGGCCTTGTATCCAGTCTGGAATCACCGTGAGGAAACGCTCGTGCCCTTGTGTTTCACCCTGGATTTCCAGAGGGAAACTCAGCCTGTCTTTTTCGCCAAGAGGTCTTGGGGTGGGATGAATTGTCCTTCAGAAGTGTCAGTCTCTCTGTGGAGGGATTCTGGAGGATTAGCAGAGACTGGAACTTCACATGACTAAGGTTAGTTGAGCTGAGTCCAAGCTGAAGTGACTTGCACAAGCCCTTGTGAGTCAGTAGCAGAGCTGGGATTAGGAATCAGTCCTGATTCTGACTGATTAAAGCCAATTACTTTTTTTAGCAGGATTTGTGCAAGTGTCTTCTCCGATCCCTGAATCTGAAGAGTGTGAATCTGGGTTTCATTTACCAGCATTGCTTTACATCCCCCTTTCTTTTAGAAGGAAGTGTTAATGTGACTTCTGCTTGCTCCAAGAGCCTTTTATTTTCTCAGAGTAATATGAAGCAGCTGACTGACTCCTGGGGAGATGGCCAGGAGGGAGAGGACTAGAAACCCTCTGCTCTATGAGTGATTCCAGTTGCCCTTCATGTTACAGTCCACGAAATCTTTTCTGCACCTGCAGGGCTTGGCAGGGCAGGCAGCACATCCAGAGCCAAGCAGCACTTCCAGACCTGGACAGCTCAGGAATGGAAAGGAAAAACAGCCTGGCTTTGTGCTGCCTGAGCTGGAGCTTTCAAAAAACAACTCATAATTCATACATCTGTGGCTTTGTGCATGTTTATTGTTTTTAACATCAGATTCTGCTTGTGAATGAAAACCAGTCCTGTCTGGTGGCTGCTGTGTGTGTGAGTGTCCTGGATGCCCACCAGGGCAGAGGTGTGACACCTCCAGCCCAGGTGATGCCAGAGCTCTGAGCTCTGCCTGCAGCTGCTGGGATCAGGGGATCTGTGGTTGAGCCAGATCAAAGTTCATGACCTGGCTTTAGTGGAAGGCTACAAATAACTTTGCAGCTGGAAAACCTACCTCCAGGCTGCACTTCCATGATTTCCCCACTGCATAAGCCCTGAGGCAGAGGGGTTTATGTTACATCCACCCAGGAAAGCATGACAGGCCTATTTGTGTATTAATCCACTGTCTTGCATATTTAAATGCAATTTCCTTTCTTCATCCCCCAGTCTTTGGGCTGTGGTGGCAGGGAGTTCCACGGGCACATTTTGGCAGAGTTAGGGCTAAACATCTTCATCCAGATACCTGGAGGCTTAATGGCTGTGATTAGCTGTGCCTGGAGGGACTGGAGAGCTGGAGGTATTTTAGGCCCTGTCTAACCCCATGGTGTAGAGACAGCTAAGCCAGTTTTAACTTTTGGAGACCAGCAGCAAACTCTAAGCTCAGTGCAGGCTGAAAGCCCAGAAGGAGGAGACGGTAAATGAACCCTGTCTGAGCTCTGTGCTGCTGCCACTGTGCTGCTTTTACTTACCTTGTTCTTGTTCAAAGCTCATTTCTTTGTCTCTGTTCCAACTGCAGACAAACCCCGTGGTCGGGGTTAGATTGTTTTTCCAGGCTTTTTAATTAACCCCCTCCCACTGCCTCCTCCTCCATGGGGTTCCAGCCACCCCTGCTCCCGAATTCCCCTCCCAGACAAATGCCTGGGAAGGATCTCAGGTTGGACGAGCCTGGAGGTGGTTTTACATCAAGGGAAAGCATCTTTGCAGGACTCCTGAGTCCTTCCGGGGGGCGGAGAAGCTTTAGAAAGCAAAGGCCAGTGTGGAGCTGATCCTTCAGCATAAGCCCTCACTCTGGCAGGAAGGTGAGGGAGGAGGGATGGGGAAGGTGTCGGGGTGAGCAGGAAGGGGAGACTCTGCCCTCTCTATACAACCCCTCTTGTGTCCTTCCAGAGAATGTAGCCCTTGCACAATAGCTCACCAGGCCGCTGCTGGGGGATAAAGGGCTCATTTTACCACTTGCCAGGCTCCAAATATTTCCAATTTGCCACTTTAATTGATGTCAATAAGGTTATGCTAAATTCGGAGATTTTGAGCCGCTTGGCATCTGAGCGCCGGCCGGGCCCCCCGAGGGGACCGTCCCCTCTCCCCCCGCCCTTCCGCGGCCCGGGGATCAACCGAGAGGCGTCGGGAGTTCCCTTCCTCCTGCAAACTCTTTACACTCCGAACTCAGCAGCCGCGGGGCGATTCTGCTGAGTGCAGAAGGCAATTGCATTAAAGCCTGGCGGGATCAGGTCCCCGTGTGAAGGGCAGAGGCAGAGCCCTGCCCCGAGCTCGCCCGCAGGAACAAATCTGGCATTTTTGCTGCAAAAGAGGAAAAAAAATAGTTCATCTGTTTCGGGTCTCAAAGCAGGAAGATTGATTGTGTGCGAATTTAATTACCTTTTCAAACCAAGCACTGCACTGAAACGAGCTGGACCAGGACCTGTTATCCTTTAACATTTGAGGGTAGAAAGAACTTTGACATTTCAGTCCCTAAAGCTGAACCTGCATCAAAGCCAGAAAGGGTTTGCATCTGGTTTGTTTAGTCATCTTGGCAAAGCAAGCCCTGCTCCAGCTTCCCAAGAAAGGGGGTGTCTGCACTGTCCCTTTCGGAAAATATGGATTTTTGCTCCCTGTTTTACGTGTCTCCTCTTCTGTGCATAGGAAGGGAGGGGTGCCGGGTCCTGGCAGTTCCTGTCTAGCAGGTTTGTCCCAAGTTTATTCCATTCTCCAGTGCTCCTTGCACAGCAGATGCTGTGGCAGGGCAGCAAAAAAAACGATCAGAGATTGAGTGTGCTGTGAAGGAACTTCTCCATTTTCCATGTTAAGGGCTTTCAAATAAAATGTCAGGCACAGACGAGCCAGCTGTGGGGTCTGTCTGGTGTTATTTGGAGGGAGCAGACCTTCATTCTCCAGCCTGGCCAAACCAATTCTGATACAGTATTTTCTAGAGCACCATTAGATGTAGGTTTTTTTCTCCCTGGTTTGCATGAAGGCAGCTGCACCCTCCCTTTCTCCTCCAGCCATGACATGTGGTCTCCTGTGTTTCTCCAGGTGATGAGCATCCTGAGCAATCCCAGCGGAGTCCCTCCCCAGCCCCAGGCCGACTTCTCCATTTCTCCCCTTCACGGTGGCCTGGACACCACCAACTCCATCTCTGCCAGCTGCAGCCAGCGCAGTGACTCCATCAAGTCCGTGGACAGCCTCCCGACTTCCCAGTCCTACTGCCCTCCCACTTACAGCACCACCAGCTACAGCGTGGACCCCGTGGCTGGATACCAGTACGGACAGTACGGACAAAGTAAGTGCTCTGCTCACATTCCCCCTGCATGGGGAGCAGGAGAGGAGAGGGAGGGAGCACGAGAAGGTGTGGATATACCACACCGTCTTATGTATTGGAAGGGATTCCTGTGGAAATCTGTCCATCTAGAGAGAAAAAGGGAGTTTATTCACCAGACATGGGTGGAGATTGCTCCTCACAGCCTCCCCAACACCTTTGCAGTCCAGTTCAAAAGTCCCAATTGAAATATTTTAGGTGAAACATTTCTATTATTGAAGGATGACTTCCAGCCCCCTCTTCTTCTCCATCTCCAATTCTCACTTCTCCAGAAGCCCTACAACATGTTCACCCTGCTCAGCGAAAGGAAATCCTGGATTTTGATGCCATCCCTTGGTGATGCCGAACACTGTGTGTCTCTTCCTCCTCTGCCCTCCCCAAAGCAAGGCTTGGGACCATGCTCAGAGGTTTTGCTACAAAACACGATAATCCAGCGCCTGTCAGCTGGGCTGGGATTCTGGGAGACCTGGAGTGAGGCTGGAATTGTAATCCTGAACCTAACCCTGAGAGCTGAAAGGCAGAGGGACTCTGGGAGGGTCTGTTCTGCTGCAGGATCCTGGGTCAGCCTGGCAAAGGGCTCACCTGTCGTGTTAAACCAGTAACGAGTGTGCTGGTGTGAGACACTGAGCCAGGGGGGGTTAAAGGTGCATCCTCTTCCTCCAGGAGTGCTCCTGCTTGCCCAGAGCTTGTCCTCAGTGACCTTTCCTTCCATTTGGCTGTGGCTTTTTATTCCCCTCTCCGTCACAGCCCTTTAATGTCTTTAACTTCTCCAGCTAAATGAGAACCGGCTGTGGCTGCAGACGGGATCAATAGCAGCTTCCCCACACCCCTCCTTTTTTTGTTTTTCAGGAGTTTGATCTGTGACCCCTTGACCTTCCCCTCGCTTCTGGATGTGAGGCTGGACACACGTGCTATTGATAAAAATCTTAAACAAATTCCGATACCATGTATTTCCAATAAAGATTCCCTTGGGCAAGACGTTAGTCACACCCATGTGTGTAAAAAATAAAATAAGGAGGACGAGCTATGTTTTCTGGGAGAGAAAGACTAGCAAAGGAGGAGAAAGGAGAAAGAACGATTTGTCTTGGTTTGCTGCAGGAATTTTCACTTGGGCCTCTCCATATGCTGATGAAAATCTCCTCACACAGCTCTATTTATGTTTAATTTGCCCCTTTTTCCTTTTTTTCTCTCACTCTGTTTGTAATAATCTCTGCAAGGAAACAGTTTTCATTGGTAATTAGTCCTGTTAGAGCAATCACTTACATGAGGTTGACCTTGATTTAACAACATTTTTCCTGTCTTTCTCAGTGCCTGTTGCATTTAGCAGCATGCTAATACATGATACTTTTAATTCCTCCTCCTTTTTAATTCCTCACTTCTTTTCAAATGCTGTTTAAATGCCCATCAGTGTAAAGTGACCTCCACAAGATCATTTATTTGTGTTCAGTTCAGATCATATGTTTTTTCCTTCTCTGATGCACCAAAAAAAGTATCAAATCTCTTTTTAGTGAACAGTGATATAATAAAAATGAGGGGTTGTTATGGTGGGGGCAGGCTCTGTGTAACAAGGGACAAAACCAGGGCTTGGAATTAAGAGCTCTATGGCTTTGTTAGGCTTTAGACCTGGCCTGCAGAGAATCTCTCTCTCTCCCCACTTCTCTCCTCCTTGTTCTCTGCTTTATAAACACAAACCCAGACAGCTTTCTCTTTCATATAAGCAAATAAACACCCAAAGGACTTTCAGTAAATTTATGGGTTTATTTTGGCTTTCGCCCTATTGAACCAACCAACTGTATCCTTGACTTCTGGCGTGGGATACCCTGGTGCCTTTGAACTCTTCCCATGGGCACTACCCACAGAAAGCAATATTTGGAGTTCAGTATTTTTTTTTAGATTGCCATCAAATTTCCAATTTCTCCCTGACAGGAGAGTGGAGCCAGGTGGGAGTCAGTCTCTTCTCCCTGGTAACAAGCGACAGGACAAAAAAAAAACCAGTCTAAAATAGCACCAAGGGAGGTTTAGGTTGGATAGTAGGGAAAATTTCTTCATGGAAAGGGTTGTGAGGCACTGGCACAGGCTGCCCAGGGCAGTGGTGGAGTCACTGTTCCTGAGAGGATTTAAAAGACGTGTAGGTGTGTCATTTGGGGCCATGGTTTAGAGGTGAACACAGCAGTGCTGGGTTAATGGTTGGACTCAATGGTCTTAGACGGCTTTTCCAGCCTTAATGATTCTGTGATTCTCAGATTTTGCTCAGTACTGCTCAGGGCAGAATGACCAGCTCTGAGCCCTCAGCTCCCTCCTTTCCCAAGCTCCCCATGGATTCACACAGAGCACAGGGGACAACAGGAACAGTCACAGCCACACTCTGTGTGAGGAAGGACATTCCTCTGCACCTGCAGCCTCTCAAGGACATCATTTAATGGGCTTACCTGAAACATCAGGGGACCAGGATGACAAGGTCTGGATGAGAGGCAGAACGTGGGCTCTAATCCTTTGGCCACCCCCCTTGTAGCCAGAGACACCCCAAGGCAACATTCCAGAGCCCGGTGTCCTAGGAGCACCAGTCCAGCTCCACTGGCCTGACTGCTGCTTTTGGGCTCTGTGCTCCCTCCTTGCAGCCCTGGATAGCTCATCCCATGCCAAGCCCACTGCCTTCCCTCTGGCACTTGCCCTGCCTGCGAGGAGCAGGGCTGCCAGATTAATGTGGTCCTGGCCATTCCCAGAGGCCGGAGCTGTGTTAATGATGCTGGTGATGGAACGCAGAAGCGTGAAAGGAATCCTAATAGATATGACAAGTCTAATAAGAATTTGTGTGTGGAAGGGACCTCCTCTGGGGCAGGAGGATGACAAGACGTTGATGGCTGAAATTTGTTTACTCATTGGCACCGATTGTACATCTCCTGCCAGCTCCTTATTAATCTAATTTGAGACATTACAGTTAGGGAGAGGGAGAGACTTTGACTGAAGCTCAGCTAATGAGCAGTGTCACCATCCTGCCCCCATCCTCTTCCCCCTCAGACCAGGGGGCAGCCGGGTGAGCTGGGATGTGCCATCGCCTCAGGAGCTGGGGCTGTTCCTCACCCAGGGGGGGACAGGGAAAGCAGTTTCCCTTGGGAGGAGGGCAGGCCTAGGGCTCCCAGAGCTGAGTCAGCGCCCAGAGGATGAGTCAGGTCCAAGCCCTGTCCAGGCTTAGTGTGCTTCCACTGAAATCTCTGGAATCATTTCCCCATTGAGAGCAGGAACTGCTTTGTCAACAGGGAGCTGAGCCTGGAAGGTTTATTCCAAGCCTTCTGCTCAGGCTCATCTTCAGGCAGCTCCCTTGGAAACAGCATTTTCCATGGCAGAGGTAGAATTTTAGCTCTTTTCAGTGGCTTCACAGAGAGGTTTGGGGGCCCACAGCAGCATAGGGCACTGCACACCCCTCAGTGTGCTGAACCCCTGCAGGGTCTGTCCTGCACGTGTCTGTGGCAGGACCATCCTCTGTGTGATCTCCTTCAGGAGAGCAGCAGGACCCTCATGCCTGTGCCAACCACTGGGATGGGCCCCTCTTGTGAGAGCCTGTTGGTTACACACCCTTCAGTGCTGAAAGCCACAGCCACTAAATGCTAATTTTGGGCCGTTTTCTCACCCTTCCTCTTCTCCCCTCCTCCTCAGCTGCTGTTGATTACCTGGCCAAGAATGTGAGTCTGTCGACGCAGCGCAGGATGAAGCTGGGAGAACATTCCGCCGTCCTGGGCCTCCTACCAGTAGAGACAGGCCAAGCTTATTGAAGAGTCCAACTGTGCCAACAACCTGCTCCAGCAACTTGGAACCACTGGAGAAAACACCACCAGCCTTCCAGAGATCTGCCTGTACCCAGACCCTACTCCTTCCCAATTCCCTTCCACCTCCACCAACTTGAGCTGCAAAGGAGACGGGAAAGAGCGGGAGGGCTCTCCAAGTATCCAGCTCCTCCAGAGCACTCCAGAGGCAGCTGTGGCCTCTGTGACCTGACTCCTCCTGTGGCCAGAGACAGTGGGTTGGGTACATTTATTAATCCCAAGTTCATGCCCTCCCTCTACTAAACTACCTGGCCATGGCGTTTCGCCCACACTTAAGGACTTTCCATTGATCTAGGTAGTTGGCATAGTCAAAGCCAAATTGATTTTTTTTTTCTTTTTCTGTAAAAAAAAGAGAAATGTTTCATTTTGTTTCCTTTTCTTTCCATTGCTGTAAATTTGGTGAATGTATAGGAAGGAATAACCAAGCTGATCATTAAGGGTGATACAAATCAGGACCACAGAAGACCTATGGACCAAATATAAGAACTTGTTTAAAAACAAAAAGAACAAACCACAAAGACAAACAAACCCAGAAAAACACATATTAAAGTGACAGCAAATTTCCCCACCCCACTCTACCCTCCGTTCTCACTGGTGGCCTCCCAAAGCAGGGCCAGGTTGCTGCTAAGCAGGGGCAGGATGGAAATCCATCCAGCCTGGGACCTTTGGAAAATGTAAATGGCTGCATGAGGGCTGGAGATGATGGGCACAGGCATGAGCAACATTTACTTTTTCTTTTATGGACCAATTTAGAGCTGACTGTCACTGAAAGGACGTGGGCACCAGGAGCAGCAGGAGATGGGACAGCACAGAGGAAGGGCAGCGGATACACCCCAGAGCACAGGAGCTGTTGCTCATCTGGTTGAGAAGGGTGAGGGCTGTTGGTGGCCCTTCCTTCTCTCAGCAGGAGAGGAGTTGGCCCTGAGAGCAAAGACAAGAGAGTGCAGAGTCAGAGGTGTTTGTGAGCTCAGTGTGCAAAGCCAGGGTCTTCTGCAGGGCTCACCTGAAAGGAGATGGTGCTTGGTCTGGAGGTGCTTTGCCACAGTCTCTCACTGAGGGATGGATGTGGCCTGGCCTGAGGTAAAAGGGATCTGAAGAGTCTTTCTAGCAGCAGCTTGGAAGGAAAGGTGCTCTCAGATGCAAGATTGCACCTCTTTGTACTGCAGGAAAATATTTACCTTCCCGAGACATTCCTTATCCTTTGGCTGCCAGGAGAAATGTTTGCCCCATCCCTCCTCCTGGCTCTTCCCACACCCATCTCATTCCGTGTACTCTTCTGTACAACTCAGTCTCTTGGTCCCTTCCCTCTGCTTTCCATTTTGGTGGTAGAGCCTCTCTCTTTCTCTCTCTTTCTCTCTCTCTAAGCCAGACCTTGTTCTGGATTTGTCACCCCACTCTTCTCCAGCAGTGAAAAACAGTGCTCTCACTTTTGTGTCACCTCATTGCACTGCTCAGATAAGCACAGTTTAAATAGTTTCCCTTTTGCATGTGGGGATGGATGATCCTTGATGATTCTTAAGCAGATATGTAATATTATGGATTTTTTCCCCTCACCTTCCTGTGTTGAGAGGATTCACTTGAAGACATTTGATGTGGAGAGGGCAAGGAAAGCTGCCCCAGGGATAAACACTGGGATGCACAGAATCTGTGCCACCAGAAGCTGGTGTGTGAAGTCCAGTGACAACAGGCAGTGTTTATGTCATCCATGGGCTGTTGGAGTTTATCATACACTTACTGTTTGATATTTCTAGGATAATGAATGTCTGCTTTCGGTCACTGGTGATAAAGAGGGATCATGAGGTGGGATGAGTCTGGCCTGGGTTGTTAAAGGAGACACTTTCCACTTGCTCTCTTTTCTTGCTTCTTCCATTCTTCCCAAATAACCTGTTCTTGTTTTTGCAGCTGAAACAACATTTTTCTGGGGAACTTGCTCCAACATCATTTATCATGAACCACCAAGCCACTTCCCTTGAGCCATATGGAGAAGTACCTGTCCTGGCCAAAGCAGGGGTTGGTTTCTGATGTTGCCCAGTATCCTCTTGGAGCCACATATGGCTTCCATCAGCTTTGCTTTACGGCTCTGACAGAGCCAGCTCTACATTCCCAAAAGCATTTTCATACACCAGCTTGGCCTCTCACATGGATATGTCTGTGCAGGAGCCCTGTGAGAGGTGACATCTGCATCCTGAGGTTGATTCCTGTCCTTTATGCTCCACAAATCCCAATTCAGCTTCTGCTTGTCCAGCTATATCACACACCAAGCTTCTCTCTAGTTGTGAAAAACATTCCTTGGATCACAAAGCTTTTGAAGCACTTGCATTCTTCATTCCCTTTCTCAGGACAATCTGTGGCACCTACAGCTGCTTGAACAGGTGAGGCCAAAGGGACTGATTTCCTCCAGGTGACTGAGTAGCCAAAACTCCCTGGATGAGCTGTGTTACCTGAAGGACTCTCCCTGCTTTGCTCTAGTTTGAAATCTTGGAAAGCAACAAAAACCCCACTGGTTTATAGTGTTTACATGTTAGAACTGATCCCTGTTGAATTCCAGTTCTGGCTTAAAAGCCGTTCCCAACAGTAACCTCCAGCCACACATGAAGTGGGGAATCAAGGGTGTCTCCATGATGGACACCAGTGAAGGTATCAGTGACTGAAGCACCTGCTTGAACTTGCTCCTGTGCCTCAGCTTCCTCCTGAGCCAACTGCTAAAACAACAGAGCCCAACATTTTCTTACACTGAACAGTATTTAAGAGGCCAAATGCTGATGATTCCCTCCCTGGGAGCACCTTCAAACCTCCATCCTCATTGCCACTGGAACATGGGGTTTGTAGCTGGTGATCTCTTGCCCTGTTACTGCCCCAGCCAGTTGTGATCCCTCATCCCTTATACTGAAATTCCTGACCCAATGCATTCCTTGCTGCCTTCTGAACCAGAAGGAAAGTTCCAGTTTGTCATGAGAATTGCTTGTCCTGCTCTTATCTCCTCTGTTCCCTTACCCACCCTGCTGTGCACACACATCTCCAGGGATCCCTCGCCTGTGGACGGTCGGTCCTCGCCGCACGGGCTCGCGAGGAGGACTCGACCTGAGCTCAGCACCCAGTGCAGGACCCAGAAATCAAAACCATTAAAAAGAGGGAGCACTGCAGGAACCTCTTTGCCAGTTACCTTCGCCAGAAAGTCCGTGGCCACCTGGGCACTGCTGTAAATAGGATTCTTAGAGGACTATGAAACCCCCCCATGCTTAGCACAAATAGCTCTTCTCTGACCTTTCCCTTGTGGTCGCACTTTGTACATTAGTTGGAAATTTGGTCATGTGCTGTATGTTTATAGAAAGTTGACATTTTTTTTATACTAAAAAACACAGTGAGTGCCGTGCTAGTTAAAAAAAAAAAAAAAAAAAAAAAAAAAAAGGAAAACCCTCCCAAAAAAAAGTAAAAAAAGGGGAAGGGAGATGAACTGTAGAAATTTGCCTATTGTGTGTTTTCAAAGTACATTCCAGAATCTTTGGGGTGGGATGGGTTTGATTTTGGGATTTTTTTTATTTGTTTGTTTGTTTCTTTGTTTTAAGGTACGTTCATGTATGAAAGTCAAAGTATTTTTTTGTTTTGTTTCGTTTTGTTTTTTGGATTGCCAACCTCAGTTCTGCTGAAAAGAGACAAACTCAGGGGTGGGGTGGGACGGGAGGGGGGGACAGAACAGAGGGAGGTACCTTGAAGGTGAAACAAAACTGAGCATGGAAGAGTAGCAGTGGCAGTGCTGGACAGCAGGCATTCACTGGAGAGTTGGACTTGTGACCCCTGGGGGTCCCTTCCAAACCAGAATATTCTGTGATTCTGAAACTATGTCAAACCAGACCTGAAATCAGACCCTGAAGAACACGTGGACGTGGCTGGTTGACACCGACCAAGTAGGGACTGAGCAGATACTCAACTCCTGGTGGCTCTGAGGGAACCCAAACATTGTTCTGCACCTCCTCCAAACAGCTCACTGAGCAAAGGGACACACTCAGAGATGTTGTGTCAGCTCTATGTCTGCCTGCAGATGAGCCCTGAAGGGACACGCTCTGGGGACATTCTCTCAGCTCCACAGCTCTTCCCTGCCTGCAGATGAGCCCTGCCATCCCTGGGGAAAGGAACAGTGCCAAGTGGGTTTCTCTGACCTCCCCACAGCCCTGCCTTCACCTCTCCCCACAGCGTGGATGTCGCATCACTGTGTCCAGCAGCTCAGCAGATTGGCTCCTGTCGCTCCGAGACTTTTTGTGTATTTAATGCTTCTAACCCGTCATCCCTTAACACCTCCATGTACCCACCTGGGGAATATCTACATAGCACTCTAGGGCATTCCTTATTCCTAGTAACTGCGGAGATGTCGCTTCTGTGTTTGCCTCATAGCCATTTGCTGGTGTGTGAGTGTGGGTGTGTGGGTGCCTGCGGGTGTGCGTGTGTATATATATAATCGCACCATAATTTATTCAGCTATATGGAGTAGAATAGTAGAAAGAGAAAACTGGTTTTGCTTTAACTACCTGCTGCCTGTAGGTGTCTTTCTGTAACTCAGGCATAACTGTTATACATTAAAAAGAAAAAAAAAAGGAAAAAAAAAAGGAAAAAAAAAGGATTAAAAGTGCCTTTGGGTGGCTTGTTTGCTTAACGCGCTCCGCGGTGTGCCAAGAGCGAGGGGGGAAAGTGGGGAAGCAGAAATATCCGACACACACAGGCAAAGTGCAGATGTTTCTGCTCAAAGAAGCAAAATCGCGGGGCTTCGTTAGTTAATGAGAAGGTGGAAGAGCTGTGTAAATAAATAAAACATTTAATTTCACTGTGACTTTGCGCAAGGGAAGGACAATTACCTGGCCTGTTCTCAACACAACCAGTTCTTTATGCATTCATTTGGAGCCAGCCCCAGCCCAGGCAAGGGAAGGCCAGGGAGGGACCAGGCTGCTCCACAGGCACCTGGCTCTCGTTAATGCCAAAGCCCGGCACCAACAAGCGGAAAAATATTTAGAAACTACGGAGGGATACGTGGCTGGGGGCTTTGCACTGAGTAAGAAAGTGGTTCACCTCTAAACAAAGCCCTGAATTCAAAAGCTGGTCCCATCTGAAGACGTTTTGGCTCTCTGTAAAAGAAGTTGATCTTCATCCAAGTCATGGTGGAGGAATACCCACATGCAGTAACGAGCCTAATTAGCCCCTGGGTTTGAGTTCTACTTGTCTCCAGCAGAGGGGTCAGTCCACGGGACTGACTGGCTGCCCAAAGCCAGGTGAGATCACCCTTAGATAGGATGTGCCAACTGCTTATGTTTGTCTTTTGGCAGCAAAAGAGGCAGAAATCTGCCAGCCTGGAGTTTCCCACAGGCTGGAGAAGGCTCAGTGAAGGAACAAGGACTTTAGGATTGCAAACTCTGCTTGCACTCTTGTGCACCTCTTGATTGTGGCTACTTTATCAACCAGCCCCTTATCAATCTCACCCACCGAGATCCTTTCTTAATCCTCCACCTGCTCCCAATGCCTGGATAATCCACATTTCTGAGGGAAACGAGCACCCACAAGCCAAC